CCCCCGCCTCTCATGAGGCTGGAAAAAAGTATTGCAAGAGAAAGAGGGAAGGAAGGAAAGAGGCAAAGATAGATAATGACTTCTTTTTTATTTGCCTTCTGCTCTCTGAGTCATGGTTTTCAGTTTTACTCCCCAACCGCAAAAACTAAAACTCTTTTTTTTTTTTAAAAAAAAAAAACCCTCGTGAAAGTCATGGTTGGCTTGTCGCCCCGTGGCTCTTGGGCTGAGGGTTTAAATACGTCCCCGTCAGACGGGATGATATCGAGCTGTGTCAGAGTATCTTCTTGCACCCAAACCGCTCTCAGCCCTTCTTCCACTTCCCCTCTTTGAAAGCAGCTCCATCTTTCAGAACCCTGTTGTAAATGAATCATCTCTTTTTCTGGCCCCGCGCCCCCGGGAGTTCGATTAAACTTGTTGTTTCTGCTCTAATTTCAAGAGATGTGAACTGTGTCCCCACAAAGATGGAGCCCTGAAACGGACCGACAACGGAGGTGAGTACCTCTGCGCAGCGCCGGGTGTGTCGTGCGGAGCAGCCGGGGACTCAGCATCTGTCCCAGGCACAAAATAATTCATTTCTGAGCCAATGTCGCCAGAAAGGGAAGGCTGGAGGCTCAGGAGGAATGAAAATACTTTGATTTTTCTTATAAAACTTCACTTTCTGAAGCCTCCATGACATGAAGACCTTTCCTTGGCGGGGAACCTGCCTGACCTCTGGCTGGCATCGAAGCCCAGCCCCTGAAACGTGCAGTGTCTTGAGCTTAACCTTGCAGGAATCGGTGCACGATCTGGCATTGTGTACAGAAATGTGGAAGTTGCTGTGTTATTTGCTGCACGCTTGCACAGCAGCAGTGTGATCCTCCAGTTGCCAGAGCCTCAGCCTGAAGTCCCCATCCGAGAGCAGGGACCAGGACACAGCAGAGATGTATTTCTCTGCAGGACTTATCTGCTCCTCGTTGGTGCTTCTCAGCCTCTGGTGCTGTGAAGGACTGTGGAGCATGATTGCAGTTGTCAGAGCTTGTAGCTATTGATGCTACTGGCTGTATAGATCAAACATAATTTTTTTTCCAAACCTGGTAGGCTGGAAAGGCTTCTGTACCTACCTGCCACTTACCTTAATACACAAAAAGTTAAATTAGGCAAGGAGATCTTTATTCTGGTAGATCCCATATTTAGAGAAGCCCTAAGCCAGGATATTTTGTAGAACCATCTACTAGAGCTGGTCATAAGCGCCGAGAGCGTTAGTGCAATAGCACAAGTGTCACATTGGGGGATTGTTTTATATATAACATAGCATCTGCCTCCAGACGTGTTATTACATGGTTTGGTCAGGTCAGGCACAAGAAGTGTTACAACCATGTCACTGTACAGAATTATATAGCCCAAGTGCTTACAGTGTTGGGTGATTCTGTAATCATGGAGTTTATTTCCGCCTGCCCAGGTGAATCCATCCTAATTCTAGCTAAATCCTTCCAGTGCAGTAGGCATACCAGTGTGGATCAGCCTCCGAAGGCTCCTGACCTTCAAACTTTCTTGGTTCTCTCCTGACCAGATGAAATTTCAATTTACACATCTGATTTGGGAGGTGTCTTGGTGGATTTAGATTTTAATCTCAGTTGGCTTGCTGAAAAAGACCTTTCTTTAGCCATTGATAACAGCCAGTAAAAGGAGCTTTGTTTCCAGTGGCATGGGACTACGGGTTAAACCTGTCCCATCAGCATCATTTACTGCTTGGATGCTTTTCCTGGGTTTGGTTAGGTCTTCAGCTCTGGGTCTCAAGTCCTGAGGGAGTGCTTTTAAGAACAACGAGCATTGTACATTTCTTTTCCCAAAGAAATCTCTGCCTCCTTATTTAATCTGAAGGTGGTATCCATCCATCTTTCACCCACAAAGGATTTGATTGCTAACCAAGTTACAACAAGCAGCATTTCAAATCTAACATCTAACTTCAGTTGGCTCCCTTCCTACGCTTTCTTCCTTCTCTCCCTCCCATGCTTGTCTGCAGCCCTCTCTGAGTTTGAGACTCTTCTGGGTTGCCCCATGTGAATCTCCGCTCTCTGGTTTGCTTCCCCAGGGTGGGCCCATGTCGTCTGTGCGCTGTACATCCCAGAGGTGCAGTTCGCCAACGTGCTCACCATGGAGCCGATTGTCCTGCAGTATGTACCCCATGACCGCTTCAACAAGGTAAGGCCATCTCTTTCTCCGGCTGCCCCAAGCGTACTTGCCCCGCCGTGGTTTTTGGGGTCATCTTATTCTACCATATTTCCTGTCCAATTTATTTTAATTTCCAGGTACTCAGATTCCTTTGAGAATAACTAACGAAGTAAATCCCCATTCTTGCAAATAACTTTTTCTTCCTCCATTTCTCTCTTCCCCAACTCCCTGCAACTTGAGCAGCCTCCACCTTGGAGTTGCATGTTGATTACTCCATGTTTTCATCTGACACGGTTGTTATTTGGGGAGAGAAAGAAGATGTATGAGCTCTGAGCATGCCACTGAGAAATAACCCAGAGCTGTTGTCATAGGAGGGAGGTGACTGGACACAGAGTTATGAGTTCTTGAAGGCTTTGCCTTCTGGTGAGCAGTGAGAGTGAAGTAGGCGTTTTTTCTGCCTCTTTGACCGCTTTTATTTTTTTTGCAGACCTGCTACATCTGTGAAGAGCAGGGCAGGGAGAGCAAAGCAGCCTCTGGAGCATGCATGGCCTGTAACCGCCACGGCTGCCGGCAAGCGTTCCATGTCACCTGGTGAGTTCCCCCCAGCATCACCCCAAGAATAGCCCCAGCCATTGGTTTTTCTGCTATGGCTTTGAGGCCGCACTGAATGGGTGGTGTGGGGAGTTGGGTTAATCACCCTGGGTTTATTTTGTGCAAGGGGTGTCTTGTCCTTGCTCAGTTTGTGAGGGGAACTTCCCCAGGAAGGCTGAGGTTTCAGCAGTGAGCCCTCTCTGCCGAGGAGGAAGGCTGGGGATTTCCCTAAGAGTATGTGGAATCCAAGAAGAGAAGAGATGAGTCACAACCCAGGAATGTTCCTTCTCCAGCAGAGCACATGCAGGAGTATCATCTAGATGATTTTAAGGGCTGATATCCTCATGTACCCTCGCAGCCTGAAAACAACACTGCCTATCAGCAGAACAGGGAGATTCCCAGTTTTCCATGGATTCCTTACTCATGACCTGTCTTTTACTGGAACTGTTACTGGTCTCCCAGGCTTCCCTTAAGAAAAACAAAAATGGCAAAACAATCTGGTAGAAAAGTACTGACAATTTTGAAGATCTTAATATGAATTAAAAATAGTCTGAACTTTTTTCCCCCTCCTTGCATACCATTTGCCAAGCAGAACAGGAAACTTCAAGACCCTGCCTGGGTATCCTGAACTATTCTTTGCCCTTTATGTGGTCTGCCTGTAGAGTTTGCTTTGTCCTCCTCCTAATTGCATGTATTTCAGCGCCCAGATGGCTGGCCTCTTGTGTGAAGAGGAAGTCCTAGAAGTCGACAATGTCAAATATTGTGGCTACTGCAAGTACCACTTCAATAAAATGGTGAGTTTCTTCATCCCTGCAGTGGAGTTTTTTTGTCACATGAAAGGCGTTGTCTTCATCCTAGCTTGTATCTGTGCTCAGAGCAGTAAGAAATGCCAAGAACACATAAACAAGCTCTGCAGCCTGCTTCCCTTTTCAGCCATTCAGTCAGAGTCACTTAGGAATAAAGATTAATTTATATTTTGCATTTCTATAGCATCTTTAAACCCATATCCAAAACTAGGGGTTGAATTCTTCCCATCTGTTTTGGCTTCCCTGGCCCACTCTGTATGGCTGAAGGGTAAGTCCCCAAAAAATAAAGATTAAATCCCAAACATCCCATGATGTTTGATGCTCCAGGGAGCTAGGGGTGTAGCTGAGGGTGACACAGAACAGCCAAAACTTCTGCCTGAGGACAGAGACAGCCAAGAAGAGACATGGAGTCATTCACTGTTTGAGGGATATTTGGGGAAAAGGACTTCCCCCTATTAATTACACTACTGAGAGGAAAGAGAGGAACCCTTTTCCTGTTCTGCATAATTAGTAGACACCTGCTCTCCCCCCCTCCAGCAAAAAGGAAACTTGATCCTCTCACCACAGCTTTGTGTCTCAGTGGCTCCTTTGTTGCTGGCCTTCCCCACTTTCCTTCCCGCTTATCAGTGCTGTCACTTACAGTGACTGATGTCTTGAACTTCCCCGCAAAGTCAGACTGGAGGACACCTTCCTGGCCCTTCAGGTACCCTCAGCATCGGACACAAGTATCTCTGTGTCAGGTTCACTGATGCTGAGACAGATGGCAGGACTTCTGCTGGTGCCTGGGGTCTGAGAATGGGGTATCCACGCGCCCCCCACACCCCACTCAGGATGGAAAGCTGGACACTGCTGTTCAGGAGACCTGGCTTGTCTGAGCAGCGTCGCTGCTGCCCTTTATCCTGTTTATAGAATGCTCTCTCAGCAGCTGTGCCTTTCTTCTTAGAAGTGTCGATGCGTGTAGGCCACCAAGAACCAAGGATTTGGGGAGTTAGATCCACACGCTGTTTGTAAGCCCACCAGGATGCTGTGGTACCCAGCCAGGTTGGGAACTGGGCTGGGCATCCAGTACAAACAGAGTTACAAGCCATTTACTGTAACTTGGCTCACTGTAACAGTGAAAGCTGGACTCTATAACACTATTTTTCCTCTTTCTCTCTCCTTTTTCTGCTGTTCTCTATCTCCTCTCCCCTTCCCCACTTATCTCAGAAGACTTCACGTCACTCTGGAGGGAGCTCCTTCATTGCTGGAAGAAGGAGTCGATCCACATCCCCTGCTCAAGAGAAGCACGTCTCTCACCACGAAAGGCCAAAGAAGGTAAGATCCGCACAGAGTTTGTCAACCCCGAGAGGCACAGTCGTGCGGGACGGAGGTGAGAAGGGGAAGAGTGTGCGGGGAGCACCGGTGGCTCCTCAGATGAGCCCTGACCCTGCAGAGTGTCACAGTCAGAGATCTGAACAGCGGCTGCGTTTGCAAACAGGCTTCGCGTGTGCAAATCGAGCAGCGCAGCCGTGGGGAGCATGAGGCCAAGTTTGCACATTCAGAGGGGTCCTGGCAGAACACGCCTGTGAAACGTGCAACTTTCCCCTTTCTGTCCTGGGGCAAGTTCACTCTGAGGGTGACATTGTGCTGCGGTTTCCAGGTACTGAGCTGATCTGAAGTAGTTGAGGCTGGGGTTTTAAATGCAGCAGCTCGAGCCCAAGTTTTAAAGAACAAAAAGATCCTGATGAGTAATCCGCATTGTGGCCGGCAGGTGAATTGTAGGCAAGAACAATAATTAGTATAAACTGGGTAGTACTTTGTTAGTCAGATTAACCAGCCACAGGGATTCCACCTGCTTCAAGTCTACCTGTGAAAATAGTTTATTTTTGTTAAATAATTCTTTAGAAGGACATCGCGTGCCAGGTCTGATTGGTATGATGGTTGTTTATCTGACTCTGCTGGTTAAGAGGTGCTCATCAAAACTGCTGCAGTGTTACAGGACGTGTTAACAGCACACCAAGGTTCATAATTAACCAACTGACTCACGTGACGGATGCTCGTATTTCAAGGGAAAGCAGCAGTGAAGGTGTAAGGCACAATCCCAGCAAACTCCTGTGTCCTGGTGGGGATGGAGGTTCCAGGGTGGAAGGGTCTGTACCAGAAGTGAGGCAGCCAGAGGCTTGAGAAATATTTGTTATTTATGACAGTAAATAGCCCTAAAAGGCAGAACACACATGTTTTGGAGGATTCAGGTTCTGAGACAAATGGTAGCAGAATAAAAATTCTTCCCTACCTAAAAAAGCTTTTGCAGTATCAAAGCAGAAATCTGAAAAGATCTGAAGCAGAAATCACTTCTACAGGGACACTTCTGGTATGGTGAGAGAGTTTTTAATACTTTATGGGCCATATCCTGTTTTTTGTTAGCAGAAATCCAGAATTATTACTTTCCCAAGCAAGCTCTGGATATATTCCACTATAGCCAACAGCCAGATTTCCCGTGTTGTATAAACACTTGGTGATACCCCTGCAAATCGCAGCGTGAAATCTTTTTAAGTCTTGCCATAGGTGTCTGGCTGTTTACTACTTTTCTGTTTGTTTTTGTCTTGTTGCACTAGGCATCCTCACAATGCATAAACAATTTTGAATGGTCATGATAGTGACCCACATCCAGAAACAGCCCGATGACACGCCGGTGGGTTATGTGGCCTGAGTCTGATGGATCTCAGCCCAGTCTCCAGGGGCCAAGGGCATCCAGGCTTCCCAAAGCAGCCCGGCCATCGGTTAATCCCTCCTGCCACCCTCCTGGCGTGCCCGGCTGAGAGTCCATAAATTGTGTGGGCAGGAAAGCCGTCTCCTTCTTTATTTACAGAGGTTATCCCGCAATATCCAGTTTGAAAGGCTGCCCACCATGTCCATTACGTGTTTGGGAAGTTTGCCCAAACCATACCTGATACACGGGCAAACAAGTCAAACCTCGCTGCCGACACCGCGTCGGTAACTTTCCTGCTGCGGACGAGGCTAAAGCGGACGAGGAATATTTACTCCTCTTGTGTGTTCAGCTGCCGCGAGGAGAGGAGGAGGCGGGAGGGAGAAAGAGCATCTGTGCCACGGCCGGGGAGCGCGCGCTTGGCACAAGGTGAAGGGCTGTACTGGAACGTGCTATTTTTAGCCAACAAGCAGGCAGAAGGGGTGGGGGAGAGGGCAGGATCGGGGAGATTGACGGCGGCTTTGGAGAGCTCAGCTGTAATTATAACTGACAGACGCTGTAAGTCCAAGGCTGGGGACCGTACGAGGGTTTCTATATTTGCACAGCGGCCGGTGGCGGGGGTGGGAGCGCGGTCACGTGCCTGGCAGGTAGGAGCAGGGGAGGTTCAGCTTCCCGGTTTTGGTTGGAAAGCAGGTCAGCGCCAGGGGGAGAGTGAAAACGGGAGGAAGATGGATTTATTTATAGGCTTCTCAGTGGCGCTTGCCACTATTGTTAGCCTCTGGGTTCCTCGCAAACGTGCAGAGACTCCGTCTCGCTGCTCCCTCACCATTCCTCCCCTCCGGATCGGGTTTGCGAGCAGCAGATCCCATGGAGGCCCCTTCCAGGGCCGGGATTGCTTGGCAAGGCCACCGCGCAAGTGCAAAATCACCTCCTTCCACTTAGAGAGGGGAAAGGGGAGCGAGGTGTGCAAAGCTGCTGAGATGGACGGAGTCAGGAAGGCACTCTCCAGGGGTTTTGTGGAGTTTCCAGGTCTGGGAGCGGTTATGAAGTGCGGGGTCTGGGTGCGAGGCGGGGGGGAGCATGCACCTTTCCACGGGGTACCCGCAGAGGAGGTTGAACCGTGAGTTCCCGCATGGTTTGGGAGGACGTGACTAGCAGTACATGATCTAATCGCACGTGTTTCAGGGGAACTGGGCGTGCTGCTGCGCTGACCTGAAGTAGAACAGCTTTTTCTTGAGCTTGTCCAGCTGTGCAGCCGCCTGGTCTCGTCCTCGCGGAGCTGGAGGCGTTGCGGGGGGAGCTGATGGCTCAGCAGCAGACCAGAGCGCAGGGCTGAGTCCTGGGGCTGCAGGTGCTGGTGGCTCTCTGCTCCAGCAGGAGCTCGGTGCCTGACAGCTCCCTTCCCGTGCAGGGCTGGGGCTGGTTACTCAGGCTTTATGGAGGAAAACTCTGGCTGAGTTAATGACTGAGAGGCGCAGGATTTGACCCAGTGGCTTCAGTAAGACAGCAAAAACTCAGGATTTGGGCTCCTAAGCCTTGCTGTAAAACAGTTCAGCATTTGTGAAGAGTCTTGTTCTCTGTGGAACAAGGGACAATTGTGATGTGAGGCCAGCGTCAGCATCCCCTGCCTCTTCCAGGCACAAATGATACCAGCCCAAGCATTTCCTTCTGTGCTGTCCTGAAAATCTCCAGGCTTTGGGTTTTCCCAAGAACATAGCAAGCCCTAGTCAAACCAGCCCTATTTCTTTCTTTGGGGTTGGCATTGCAATGCCTGTGCTCTACCCTGTGGGAGCCATTGCAGGGTTGGTTTGTTTAAAAAAAGAAAGAAGAAAGAAAGAAAGAAAACAATAGCTAAATACCGAGAAAATGCTGGATGACGCACAGGGGTTGAATGAAGTACAGATGTTCCGTCACCTATATTGTCTGCTTGAAACAAACAGCAAAAAATTACCATGCTGCGTGGAATGAAATTTGTCACACCAGGAGCAGACAGGAGCATGTGCGCTACAACATTTTTACGCGTATATATCCCATGGAGGGAGACACTGGTCCAGCGTTAGCCTTAGCGAACACCTGGAACCCATAAGCTAAATCAGGGGACTTTTAATTTGGATTTGGGATATTGTTACGAGAGGAACGGTCCCTGCCCTGTGACATAGGAAGGAGAGGCAGGCGCTTGGGGTAAATAAGCCCAACTGCAGTTATTCCTGAGGTCTGGGTACTGACCGCCTCCCTAGCCACGGGGCAGGGGGCCACTTTATGGGGGTACAGCGACTCTGTCTGTCCTGACCCCTTTGTCCCTTTAGCACCAGCCGGAGCAGGGCACAAGCACCCAGTCCCGCGGCAGCCAAGCAGATGCACGGCAGAGTCCGTCTCCCCGCTGCCATCGCCTGTCTGTCTAGAGCTGGTGCCAGCGGAGGAAAGGAGCCAAGGATCCAGCCTGGCAGATTTCGCACTCTGGAGAAGGTGAACTGGGCTGGAATCTAAACCCAGTGGGTCTGTGCGGGGCTCTGTGTTTGCAGGCGAGTTGGTGGCGGTGGTCTGCCTCTTGGAGTTTTATGCCCACACAGGCACCAAAGGGCAAAGGGACTTTTTTTTTTTGTTGTTCAAGTGGGATGCAGGTGGCTGCTTGCAAGACCGGTACAGGTTTTTTGGGAGGGAGTACAGAACCTAAATCTGCTCTTGTCCAGCTTTAGAAGCCTTGTTTTCTAGCATCCTTGACCGACTCTTTGTGATCTCCTGTTATGTGGGTGTTTAACCGCCCCCAGCACATCCTCCCATGAGCAGGGGGTGCAGCAATCATCTGAGAGCCCCGCGAGGGCCGGCCGTGAGTCCTCGTGTGAAAACTCTGATGCACTCAGTGTGTCTCAAGGCAAACTCATGAAATCATGAAATCCCCAGCACGGCCCTGGTGCAAGCCAGGCTGCAGGCAGGGGCTTAGCATCCCTCTGCCCGGTGCTGCCTTCCTCCTCGCTGCGGCTGCCATGGCTGCAGCCCAGAGCCAGTCCTCCTCCTCCTCCTCCGGGCGAGGGAGTTCAGAGAGCCTGGGAAAGAGGGAGGGAGCAGCAGAGCCCACTTGGCTCTTCCCAGCTTTTCTCTCCCTCCTTCCCCTGCCCAGTCTCCATTTGATGATACAACTGCTGGTGTCCAGCAGATTAGAAGAAGGGGCTTGAGGGAAGGGGAGACGGCGGTGGGGGGAGCGAGAGGAGCTGTGCACAACCCTTTTTGGCAGCGAGAGCTCTTGTTCCGTTCCTCTTGCGCTGGGGAGCTTGAAGGGAGGTTGTGTCGCCGGCACGCCCCCGCTGCAGCCACGCTCCCCCCGGCCTGCTCTGTGCCCATATGCCAAGCCCCAGCTGCTCAGTCCTGCCCGGGGAAAGTTTGTTTTCCGTGAAGTTTGTTGCTGGGGGCAGGTTCACATTCCCTGCAGACTCACCCAGCCAGCCAGCCTGCTGCAGGGAGCGCCGAGCAGCTGCAAGGTAGGGCTGGGCTTCTGCTTGCAGAGCTGGGATGGGGGTGTCCAATGGTTTCCTGCTCTCGCAGTGCATCCACCCTCCCTCCTCCTCTTCCTCCCCTGACTCCTGCTTCGTGGCACATCCAGGCAGGTCTCTGTGGGCAGGCTGGGCTGTTGGCAGTGGCGGCGTTGTCTGTGAAGTTTTCCTGGAAGGAGGGTTTGCAGAGGAGGGTGTCTGTGTGCCAGGGAGATGAAGTGCTGGATGCAGAAACGCCGGAGCACCTGAGAGGCAGGGGAAAGTGCTGCTCCCCACCCCGTCCCCTCGCCTTCCCCTCCCGTTGCACCCTGCGGCTCTTGCAGGAAGCATTTGGAGCCTTCCAGTTCCTGAAGAGAACCCACACGTTTAAAAGCCTCTGGTGCAAGCTGGGGAACACCCAGGGTTGTCTGAGGGACTGTCATCACAGGCGAGATCGCCAGGAGTGATGGAGCAGCCGGACCCTCGCTGTGCCGTGGTCTGGGGGCAGCCGGCGCAACCCACCAGTGCCTCCCACAGCTCGTCTGTACAGCATCCGTGGGGCAACGGAATTAGCTGTCCTGCCTGTTCTACATGGGGCACTGCGTTTCTCCGGTAATATTGCAGAAGATGTCAGATTCTGTTGCCTTTCTGAGTACCCAGAAGTATTAGAGAGTAACTGGAGGGTGGGAGATGGGTGTGCAAAGGCAGCGGGCACCCAGACTGCAAAGCATAAGGGCTGTAGCTCAGGGTGCTCCTGGTCCTGCAGGTTTCTGCTCTGCCGGAGCAGAAGTGACGCAGAGCCTGGAGAGGAGGTGGTGTGGGAGGGGGAGAAGTGCTTGGGAAGCAGGATGGAGGAGCAAGGTGTGCCCGAGGACATGGCCTGGGCTGCGTGCAGGCACGTGGAGCAGAAGTGGGGCTGAGCTCCTCGACAGGCTGCGGTGGTTCTGGTTTCAATGCAGTCCTTTGAGCAGAGCACGATGACTGGTCTCTGTGGGACAGATTTTGTAAGTAGTTTGAGTGCAGTTGCTCAGCACATGTAGTCGGGGGCCAGATCTTCAAAAGAGCTCGACACTCCGCGTTTAGTTTTTTTGAAAAACCTGACCATTTATTCAAGCATCTAAATGGGAGTGGAGGCATTCCAGAAATCTGGTCCCTATTGTGCAGGCTGGGTTCTTGCTGAATATATACATATGTACGCACTCCTACAGATAACCGGAGGACTGCTCAGCTAGCTGTTGCAGACTCTGCGCTGCCGGCAGTGAAGGGAGGTTTTTCAGACAGGAGACAGCTGGGATTCTGAAGCTGGAGGATGTGAGTTTGGTGGTTGCCATCCCAATGAAATTGTGGGAGGTTTTATGGTTCGCTGTCGTGACGGTCAGGATGCTCCTGCCTTTCCCAACGCATGTGCACGTGTGTATGTGTATGTAGGTGTGTAGGTTCCTGGTCATTAGCCAAAGTGGCTTGGCTCTGCCTTGGCTCATCTTGACCATGATATGTGAAATTAAATCATTCCAGTGCTGTCTCGCTGGCGTTTGCAGCAGTGTAGCTTATTCCCTCCTGTTGCAACTTCGTGATTGAAATGCATTTGGGATTCAGGGTCTGAAAATGAGAGAATAAGCTTTGTGGTATTCAGAAAGTTTTAAGGAGCAGGGTTTGTGCAGTTATTTGGCAAAATGTATTGTAATGAGGTGTCTGGCTCCTGTTTTCCATTTCTGGCTTCCGTGAGTGGCACTGGCAGCGTCCGCAAGTAGGCGAGCGTCTGTCCAGGTGGGGTGGGGATCCCTGACTTTCCTTTCTGAATTTATGGATGGCTTTCTGTGAAATATCAGCAAGTTCTCTCATGCCATGTGCCCTGGTTTTCCCATTTGTAAAATGCGATGTGGATATTAAAAACCTCTCTTCAGCTCGTTGAAACTTTCTGCTGTGTGCTATTAAGTGAGTGCAAATTGTTACTGCTGCTGGAATAATGAACACGGATGTGCACGCGGGCTGTGACAAACTGCTTAACGACCTGGGCCACAGTTTCCCCATCTTCCTGTCCTAGAAGACCCATGAGACTGAGAGTTTATAGCAAGAGAAGCCCCCAAGTATTTAAAACATGATGAGATTTAGTAAAGATTTAATTTGTCTTTCAGCACTTAGTCTGCAGAAGTCACATTTTCAAGCTTTCCTTGTTCCCTGCCAACGCTGGAAATGTGTATTAAAGAAAGGGAAGAAAGGAAAAACAGAGATTCTTGTAAAATACTGCAGCTCTAGGAACGGAGGCTTTAGCAGATATGCAAAACGCCAGGAGTCTTCTGATAAAATGATGGATATTGGCAGCGCTGGTTGGGGACTCGGCAAGTGCAGTGAAGCTCTAGGCTCGATTTTCCTCCTTTTCTCAGCAGCTCATCCCCGGGAAAGTTTCCGTGGCGGCTGGCAGGGTTACGCCGCAGGGGCGCTGGTGGCTGCAGCATGGGCCCCCTTGTCGAGGGCCAGGAAAATTCAGCCAAACCCACACTGGAAGGTGCTGATTTCTGGAGCTCTTCTGCTTCCCTTCATGCGTGCCTTCTCCAGCCTTTTCCTCCTGCTCTCTCCCTCCTCCTGCCCCCTTTTTCCCCCCATTTAGCGTATTGTTTCCTAAGCTAATTATTCCACTCTCTTCTTTCCCCTGCAAAACCACACGGTGAAGCTCATATATCTGCTGCAATTGCATCTTCCCCTGACAGCATCCCATCTTTGGCATGTGCTGGCAGCTGTAGCCTCAGGGCTCTGTCTGCATGAGGAAGCAATAAACATCTTTCTGGAGAGTCGATGAATTTCGATGTGACTCTTCTGTTCTGCATGCACCTTTGGTCCAGACCAGGGACTTCAGCTTCTAGAATAAAATGCCCATGCAAGGGACTTGTCCCAGAACAGGCATCCTTTCCTACAAAAAGGTCTCAGCCACAGGAGGATGGATTTTTCTAAGCCCTGCATCTCATGCGGGTGTTTATCTGACAGCAGCTCTCCTGGTCCATGCACCAGTGGCCACACTGGGAAATCTGGAACTGGGCACGGAAGTTTTTGTGTCTTCTGTGAAGAAACCCATGTCTTCAGCTGACATCGGTGGCACGGAAAAGCTCGTGTCGTCAGCTGAGTGTGTCCCCACGGGAGCGTGCAGCCGAGGAAAACAGGGAGGAAGCAGGGATGCATGGTGGAGCGTGCTCTTTTATCCGTCCATCCTGTGTGCCAGCTGGCCAGGGCATCCTCAGGCCCCACGGATGATGTCACATGGGCTATTTTTTCAGTCCTTTCACTGAAAATATGTCAGTTTTCGCATCAACATGCAGATAGCACTGTGTAAGAGTAGCCCCGGTTACAGTCTGTTCGTCAAGAGAATATAAAATCAGGGCGGGCAGGACTCAGTGTTTCTCAGGCCATGATTTTTCGTTGGTTTGCATTTTGAAGAATCCCATTTTTCTGGGGTTTTAGTGTGAGAAAAAACAGGCTGGAGAAATCAAACTAAATAGTCTGTCTCCTGTTAGCAGAGAAGGACCCGGAGCAGCTGTCTGTGTTGGGAGGGGAGATGTGGGGGATCGCTAGGTTAGGTTCAAGCCTAGGTTCTGAGATCTCCGCTGATCTGAGAAACCCTTGAAGAAGGTAGAGAGTGAGTGTAAGGGGGCACAGAGTCCCTTTGGGGAAATAAGAGGAAAGCTCAGGTTTCTTGAAATCAGCCAGGGCTTGTTAAGTCCTTCCCTATCATCTTACCATAAACCGATTCGAGGGCTTCTGTTGATATTCTGCACTCCAGATGTTGGCTGCAGCTGGGCTAGAGATAGTGGGATGCTCACAGCCAGAAGCTGGTATGTGGGGGAAGGGATACTGGGCTCGTGTGGATGGGTGGGGAAGGAAAGAGCAATATGAATGTATGGTTGTAAATCCACCCCTACACACCCTCCTTTCTTTTCCCTTACAACTGCTATTCTCAGCAGAAGGAAAGTTAGCCTTCCAGTACTCTCTGATTTCTTTTGCAGAGTCGGAAAGACAAGGAAAGACCTAAACAGAAGCACAAAAAACGTCCGGAGTCTCCCACCAGCCTTACCCCATCCTCGGTGCCCGTCGCTGCAGAGAAGGTACCAAACCCACAGGATGTGAGCGTGGGAATGTGGGGTGGGGAGGGAGGGCAGGGGGAAACCGTCGGCCCCAGTAGGAAGCGAGGAGGAGAGCGCAGAAGAGCAGAGAAAGGGCTCTTGTCCATTTCTTTTGATTCCTGATTTGTCACATTTTCACTCTTTCTGCCCGACTCCCCACCTCGATGCCCACCTTGGGAATTTTAACACGGCAGCTGTCTTGATTTCTGTCAGCACTGACGACGCGATCGTGGAGCTAAACTCCCAGCTGATTGAGCTGTAAGTGCCAGCCTGCTTTGCAGCAGATGTGCAGATCTGAAGCTCTCCCGGAATAGATAAATATCCATGCTTTGGCCTGTGCTGCTTCCACGTTGTAAACAGCTCAGGCAGGTGGATAAGCAAGGCAAGGCTTGTGGGAGGAGGTGTTATCCTTTATTAGACAAACTGATACAGCTGAGGGGGAAAAAACAGATAATCTTAGAAGCACAGAAGATCTTCAAAGTGCATAATTGCTTTTCTGGGTGAGACAATGGGAGGCTGGTTTCTTTTTAGTGCCTCCATTTCAGGAAAATTCAGGCAGAGGTGTGGTGGCCTGTCTTGCCCCTGAGGTGTAGAGGCAATCCGGATCCCTGCTGGGAAGGTGTCCCTGGTGTGGGTTTGTCTGCCCAGTGCCCAGGGCTGCTGGGGCACTGTTGGGATGTCTGTATTTCTGCTGTTCACTGCTGAAACCACGCTGCTGACGTGAACTCTCGCACCTGGCTGTAAATCAGGATAGCCCCGAGCTTTCTGTGATGCGTGCCAGCCCCAAACTCCAGTAAAGCAGAATAAACACTTGACTCGAGCTTGCGTGCAACAAAGTGAGGACCAAGTCTGTGGTTGTGCAGGGTCAGGAAACAAGTGAGGTTACTCCAGCACCTGGACCTTTGGAGTTGTACTCTCCTCTCTGTAGTGGGGATGTAAATTTATGCAACTCCTTAGCAGGGCTATTCTGGTGGAAGTGAGAGTAGGACTAGGGCCAAGCTCCTGCTAGAACAAATAAACAACATGTCCCAGGAATGTCCTTTTGTGCACAGAAATGCTACTTGGAAAGGCTTGGGTGTCCTTTATGTGGCAGGACTGCCTTGTGAAAATGAAAATTCACAGGCTAGCAGTGTCTGCATGTGTGAGAATCACTGCAGGGGCAGTCTGGAAGAGCGAAAGCTCCTGCCAGTCAGCGCAGGGTTGCTTTGGGTTAGGACTGGAGAGGATTTTCGATGTTCTGTGCGAGGCCAAGCCTGCAAGCGGGGTGGAGGTGTAGGTCAGAGCTGAAATGGCAAAGCTGGTGTCATGGGTCTTGGGCTGGGAGAAGCAGAAAGTTACTGCAGGAGTGGAGGAACAGCCTCTGAGCTGCAATCACTCCTGATTTACCTGTGCTGGTGTTAGGGCAGCTCAGCTCTGGCTTTTGGGAGCAGCAGATTCACCCAGTTAACAGAGCTGTCAGGAACTGATGGCCTAAGAAGATTATTTTCAAGCTGAACTGAAATCCAAAACCTGACTCTTGGCCAGCTAGAGTGGTTGTTAGACAATTACCCACTGTCTCCTCCAAAGCCCTGCCAGGCCTTTATAAGTAAGGAGGGAAGGCTGCAATTCAGTTTTACAGGCAGCTTTCAACTCTTTGTAAGCTAAAATTCAGGAGATCCTAATTACTGTAGCTGTGCTTGAGTGACAGGGTTTTAGTGTTTCCCTGGGGAGTTACTATTAATCCTCATAACAGAGAGTGTCTTTCCCTTGCTTTTTTGTGCACAGATCCCAAAGCATTGTTCAAACTCTGTTACCAAAGGTACCCACTCCAGCCCAAATCCCAGAGCTGCTGCAACCCCGCACAAACCCCTCGGGGGGTGGCTGTACGAGGCTTTCTCGAGAGTTGCACCAGTGTAACATTGCACAAGGGAGACTGCTGTAAAATCCTGAGACACATTAATGCAGCATGTCCAAACAGATTTTTTTCCTCTTCGAAGCCAAAACCATGCTGATTGCAACGTTGCCAAAGTGGCACCACGTCCGGTGAGTCCCAGGCTCCCATCGCAGTGCGCAGGAGCTGGAGCAGGGATGGGGCTGGATGCACGGAGCGTCACCCGTGTTCTGGAGCCAGTGGCGAGGAGCAGGAGCATCAGTCAGAGGAATCAGCAGAAGGGCCCTGGCACTGCTTGCTCCTCGGGCACGGGGACTGCGGGCGGGCTGTAGTGTGGCACCAGCCACTAGGACACGGAGAGGTGTTACCAGTACCCAGAGCCATGCTCCAGTCTGCTCCCAGTTTGCTTAGCCCGAAAGGAGCCTGGGGTAACAGACATTTGAGCCCCGGTGCCTGATGTTGCTACAAGTCCTCTGAAACTTTCAGCAATCCTTTAGGAACGGATTTTCATTCTCTGTAGCAGGACTTTTCAAGCTACTTCAGCTTAGGCTGACAGCAGTGGAGCTATGTTTCGTTGCTTTGGAGGAACAGTGGTATATCCCACTTCCTTGTTCCCTCAGGCAGCCTGCCCTGTGGGTTCACATTTTTCTTTAATTTTGCAATCCAGCTTTATTTTTTCAGTTCAAATTTTCACCTAATATCTCGTCCACCTTCTGCTCCCCTCTTGAACCGTTTAGTTATGAAGGAGATCCTTTGATGTGGTTTCAGTCTTCCTCTTGAAATCAATTGTGCTAGACCTCTGACTTCTGCCAGATTTTTGAACATCTCGCTGAGTGCTTCCCTGTGTCTTTTAGGAATCTAAATACCATTCTGTCCAACACTTGGACTCTGTCAGGCCTCCGTGTCCTGTCTGTGCAGTGACAAGCTCTCACTGCCTCGCTCTGCTTTGGGGGATAAACATGCTGCAAACACAGCGGTGTGGCCTCAGCTCTCATCTGCACCGGAAAGTGAAACGAGGATGTGAATTCACAGCATGCAAACCACCCTTCATAACACCTCTTCTGAGCTCTCCTCCTGCCTCTGAGAGGTGCCTTTGGGCGATGCGATTTTCATCGCCCTCCAAGAGGGGCAGGAGATCTTCCAGAGAGCACGCAGAGCAGCCGACCTGCTGGAAATACCCCAGTGGTGCTCCAGGGTAGGGCTTTGGGATGGATTTGGAGGTGGCAGAGCTGTGGAGAGTGGATTTGTGCTGGATATGGGCTCTCACTGATTGTCATCCTGGCTACTTGGAGCTCCTACAGATTTTTTGGGGAGTGGGAAGGAGGCAGAAAACATCCCCTTTGGGTAACAGTTTCTGATTATAATCATTCCTGGCTGTTTCACGTGCTCTATCCAAAAATGCCAAAATGCTGCCAACTCATAATGCTTTTGAACAGCCCTTTGGAAGGATGGCATTCCGGGAGCGGGCCCGGGGCAGAGGAGGGTTCCTCGCCGGGAAGGAGCAATGAGCCTTACAGTAAGTCCTGGCAGCCAGGGCTGCTCCGGCTCCATAGTCACACACTGCTGGGCAAATTCAGGAGCCAGCTTCTGTGCTCAGGATCATTTCATGTAGCTGGTGCTGGGATGGGGGTTAGCGAGCAGCCGAACAGCGAGCGGCGTGCCTCTCCCCTCCCCCTGCAAAAGCCCCTGGGGAGCCGTCCTGCCGCTCTCGGTTGCACTTGCAGTAAATCTGCAGGATTGCAAGCCACCCCAGCTGCCTCCTCCTGCCAGCTGCAGACATCATGCTCGCTTGTTGACACACACTCACACATGCTGTGTGTTTGGGGCTGCAACATCTGGCTCGAGCTGGGGTTTGTAATCGAAGCTGTGGATGCCAGGGCCCCCCCACACCCACCCACTCCCGGTCAGGTGCTGGAGAGGGAGCACAGCAGGGGGAAGAGCGCATGGTTGCAGGGACACTTTCCAGGTTTCCCACTGTTATCTGAGCTCTCAGCATCGACCCGGGATCGGCCTGGAGCTGACAGATCCTGGGAACCTCTGCGCTGTGCCTGGCTCTGGCAGATTCCCCATCACTGTTATGGGGTAGGGGCTTGTGGGGGAAGGCTGATAACTACCCCCGCTGATCAAAGCGTGTCTCAGCACGGACCTTTGCAGGAAGAATCCCTGAGCCTTGTAGCATCCCTTGTCCCGACATGAGTGGGGATTTGCCCCTGCCATACGAAGAAGAGCCGCACAGTGCCGCTCGATCGCGAGGGTGAGGGAAGGGACGTGGTGAAGGTTGCGAGTGACTGGGACACGGAGATGCTGCAGCTCGTACTGGTGCTTTGGCTCGGAGCTCCTGGTGGGGACTGGTCCAACGCCCCCCCAGCAATCCCGTGTGGAAAGGCAGCTGATGCTCCCAGCCTGCCCGGGTGGCTGCTTCAGCACATCGCCCTGTTCTGCGTGGGCTGGAGGCGCTCCCGCTCTCATCGCATTGTTCCTCCTTCGCATCCTCCCTGCTTCCCCTCCCCAGTAGTTTATTCCAGGGCAAAGCCGCTCTGTGTTTCCGACGCGGCGCCAGCCTCCCCCCACCCCTTCTGTATTTCAGTCAGTGGTTCCCTCTAGGAGCTCGTCTCGCCAATCAGGAGGCAAAGAGATGCTCTTCTGATTTCCCATCAATAAATTAATGAATGAAGAGCTTGGGTGCTGCCCAGTGTCACAGGGAGGCCAGGAAGCAGGTACAGCCCCTCGCGGACGGCGAGTGCCGGGGGGAGGAGGTGTGTGCATGCCTGCGTTTGGGTGCCCACGCGACTTGGTCTCTCTTCTCCCGGCTCCCGGGTTGAGGCAGGAGTTTCCCCATCAGACTGTCACCTCCAGCTGGGGCAGCAGGTTTGTTCTGGTGACATTTTTCACTTGGTTGCTTTAAATAGACCTTGAAAATGTAGCTGTGCCTCATTTTGACAGAGAACTCTCACTTCCTCAGCGCTTCCCTATTTTATTTTTTTTTCCTCTGCAGCGTGCTCTCCCCCCCACACCTGTTTGCAACACACGAAACATTGGTGTTTCTGCACACACATGGATTTCCGTGCTGGAGAAAAGCCGATGATCCAGAGCTGGAGACCTCAGTTTAATGCACAAGGCAAGCAGCAGGCGTGCAGGTCTCTCCAGTCCTGCTCCCTCTAGGCAGCAGCAGCCCTGGGCTGGAGCATCTCCGTCGTTAGGGAGGCAGTGGGGCTGCAGCCCTCGTTGCCATTATTAATATTGGCGTGATGGTAGCAGACCCCTCCCCTTCAGCTCGGGGCCGTGTTGTGCTTGGCGGTCCACGTGTGTCTCCTGGAAGGCTCCGCTGCCACAAAGAGCTTGCAGGCTCCACGGAGCAAAGTGGGAAAGAAATAGAGGCACAGAGAGGGGAAGGGATTGAGCGTGGTTTCAGTTTCCTTCCCTCTGCTCCCCGGCTGCGGTGCTTGGGCCCTTGTCCCGGGTTCAGGCTCTCTGGAACGGCCGCTGGAGAAGGGCCCTTTATGGTGAGGAGGGCTTGTGGTAGTGTCTGCCGTGACCTGTTTGGCAAACAACATCTAGGGCAGCATTTGGGCAGGAGGTGGGAAAATCCTGCCCCTGACATCTCTGGGAGTCCCTCAGGGAGGTCTGCGAGGTCAGAGCAGACGGACAGGTGAGTGTCTGTCCGTTCACTGCCTTCAGCTGAGCCAGCTCAGCTTCTCTTACCCTCTTTTTTTTTTTTTTTTCTTCTTTAGATTTGCAATTAAGATTTATTTCCCAGCTCAAATTTCCCCCTTCCACCCTGCACTAATTCATTACTTGCCCTGCACTCCCTTCCTGACACTCTGGATTTAGAACATGTCTTCTCATGTGGTTTCCCCCTGCCCTTCTGTGGCCTCATGCACCTTGTGCGGAGCTCCAAAGAGGTGGATTTATGGGAGGAAAATTTGGGGCTTTGCATTTCTGCTGAGACATGAGCCATCTCGTTCCTGCGACTTCGTGAGCAGTCTCAGGACTTCCCATAGCCCCCAGACACTGCTCTCCTTTCCCTCCCCAGGCAGATGTGGAAAGTCGGAAAGATTTTCATGCTCCCTCTGAGCTCATAAATCAAGGAAGCTTAATCTCCTACATCCAGGAGTCTGTGATGAGAAAATACAGATTCCCCCTCCTCTCCCCCCTAATTTCCACCACTCCCTTCCTCCTGTCTTTCATATTCCCAGCACATCTGGTGTGTGTTAGGCTGCCAGCTGTTGCATTGTGCAGAGTGATTAAACCATGTGGGAGGAATGGGGAAGGATTTTTATCTGGCATTCATGAGTCTGCATTACAAGCCCTTTTTTCTTTAGCTCTCCCCAAGAAGAGGTCATCTGGAGTCAGGGATAGTGGAATGTAAGAAAGGTATTGTGCTTCTCCGTGTCTTCCTTGTATCTGCTCAGTAAGAAATAAAAGGTGTTTGCACTAATGTACAGGTGTTACATTTCGGGCTGTAGCCGTCACATTAGAACTATATCTACAATATTGATCGGTTGCAGGAATATCTTGCAAGAAGCCACCTTTGAACACTGCTGGTTTGGCTTTGAAGTGACTTGAAGGTGAAGGTTTCATATCCTAGCGTGGGTGCCCCGGGGGATCTGGGCTTTGGTTCGTTCCCCTCTCCCCCTGCTAAACTCCCACACTTCTCTCTCTCATCCCAAGCTCCTGGATTTCCTAGCATCTGGCCAGCCTCTTCATCCCCCTTGCTTCACTGTCTCCTGCGGGCTTATATGGGGTTTGGAGAGCATCTGTTGCTGCACGGTCAGATGCTGCTCTAACAATGTCACTGTGAAATATTTACTGCGGTAGATTTGGAAAGCCCTGGGCTGGCGGGGGAGCTGCTTCAGTGTCTGCGTTAGGGAACCCAGGGAAACTCCCAGGGACGAGCAAGTTCCCCCAGGTGCAGTGACCTTGCTGAGAATAGCACACCTGAGAGATGCAGCTGAAATACGCTTGAATCGCAGCCAAATTCAGATTTTATTTGGGTTGAGTAACCTTCTGAGGTACTCTCCTCTGCTGACGACGCGGGGAATCTCTGCTGTCTGTGCCCTGGTTGTCAGTGCCCTGGTTAATTCCCTGCAGTTAGATGGGATGAGCGTAATCCCTACCAGTATAAATCCTGGTGCCACTGAGCAGCAGTAGAGGGAAATGTTGCTTTTCCCCCCCCTGAATAACGTGACCTGAGCATCACTTTGTGGGCAAAGGGGGCGAGTACTTCTCTTAAGGGGAAATTGGTAAAAAGAGCCCCTGCTGTGGCCACATCTGGCCTGAGTGAGTCACCTCTGTGCTTGCCGCTGCCAGGGCTCTACCAGCCACCATGAGGGGAGCAAAGAGACTTCGGAGGTCGGCAGGTCGGAGGTGAAGGGCAAGAAGTCCTCGAGCCATGGCAGCAGCCACAAGGGGAAAAAGACGGGAAGTGGGAAAAGCTCAGTTGGCTTCAGCTCGGCTTCATCCAGTGGGACCTTCCAGCCTGCAGGTAAGGGGTGAAGGAGAAGCAAGAGGCGAGGGGAGAATGGGGGTAATGTTTGGCTTTGCTCCCCTTTGATATCTCTGTAATGGTAAAGATCCACGTTCATCAGCTCGTGCTGTGAAGCTGAGCTGGTGGCTATTTCTTTAACCCCTTGAACAGAAGGGGAAAAGTCTTATTACTGCTAACTCAGTGCACAGAGGGAAGAACTGAGTCAGACGAGTGCTACAGCTCCCCTCCTGCGCAGGCAAGGAAAAACAAATCCAGATGTCTGAGCGGAGGGAGGAGGGAAGGGATACTGTGCACAGGCAATATGGGCAGCACCTGCCCTCTCCTCCATAGGTGGTACTGTCTGCAGCAGTGTTTTAGGGAGTGCTAGTGGAGAGACCTGAGCCAAAACCTGATACCCAGCCTCCCCTGAGCTTTGAGTCAAAGCCTTGCAGGGCTCCCATCTGCTCTGACGTTGCTCAGTTCTTTTTCGAGCTGTTGTCATAATGGCTAGCGGGGCTCATCTCCTGGGACCCTCATGGGGGCTGGAGGGACGGTGGTGATGCCGGGCCTGGGGGAGCAGACACGTGCGCGTTTGGATGGGATGAGGCTGCTGGTAGGCACCTCTCGGGCTCGCTAGAGAGAATCAAAGCAGCGGGGGGAGCAGGGCTGGGAGGTGACAGGGATGTCCTGCAGCTCAGTCACTAGCCTGTGCCAGAGGACCCGCGTTGTGACCGTGCTGCTGTTGCCTTATGGGCTGAGTTACTGCCACCAGGAGCTTTCCTATATCTGCTTGCTCTCTGCTCCCCCCAGGTACCTCCTGCAGCAACCTGCAGTGCTCCCAGGACTTTGTGACATTCCCCAAGCTTGAGCAGGACGACGAGAAGTACCGGAAGCCTGTCTCTTCCTCTTCTTCTTCCCACTGCTCCCCTCTGTATGAAGGCCAGAAGGGGGACATCTTTGAACAGAAGGTGATCTTCTCAGGCTTTGGATCCATCATGCGCTTCTCTACCTCCGCGGTGAGCCAGCAGAGAGGCCGTGATGCTTCCCCCGTGGACTATAAGGCCTCCAACCCCGTCAGCGGCCCCTCGGTGGGGACCAGTGGGACCAGCGGCAGCAGCAGCAGCCACAAGCGCATGCCATCCCTCAGCATGGAGGAGGGAGAGGTGCTGAAGGAAAAGAAGCACAAGGGTAGCAAGAAGAACAAGCACGGGCCTGGCAGGCCCAAAGGGGGCAAAAGCAAAGAGGGTGCCCAGCTGGCTGGGTCCACGTCTACTTCCTCGTCACCCTTCTCCGGGGGTTCTCTCGTTAGCTCCAGCATCGGCAACTCTTCCCGGTCCTTCAGCCACACGGGGAACCTGCCCAGCCTCAGCATGGAGTCCCCGCTGCTGGGTTCAGGTATGTTCCCCCTTAGGGCTCCAGGTGTGCGCAGTCCCTCCCAGCCCCGCTGTCTTGTTCATCACTTTTAGCTGGTGTCTGGACCTGTCTGCACAGGGTCCAGTCCCTTGAATTCAGTCCCGGGAGCTATAAAAATCCACATCTGGGTCTTCCCTTTCCATCTTGGCCGTCATCCTAGAATCTCCTCCGTGTCAGCTTCTCTGTTGCTGCAGACCTGAGCTGGGGGGCATTTCAAACCCTTTTTGCTCAAGTGCTGGAAAACCTCAGCTAGCCAGAGCTCCATTTCCAAAGCAATAGAGAGGGATGTTCGCAGGCCAAACAGCAACAACCACACTCTGACCCCAAATGAGGGACTCTCATAAGTGGTTGAAGTTTAACCCCTCTTTTCAAAGCAAAACCTCTCATCCTGGTCTTACCACATCCACACAGGGCTGGGAGAGTGGCACACCATTAACTGCTGGGGGGCTTACAGCTGTTCCCAGCCTGGGTCCCCTTCCCTGGCCTGGCAGGGATGAGGGCAGCCAGGACATGTGGCAGGAAGGGGTTAAGGCAGCAGGCAGAGGAGGGGCTGAGGTTTGACACCGTTCTGGCAGCAGAACTTGTCATCGGTCTATTGTGGGTTGTTTGCAGATGCCCCAATTTAGGTCAGATCGCAAGGCAGAGGAGGTATGGTTCTGCTGTGCGCCGGGGGAGCCTTGGCCCGTTTGTCTGCACTGCCTGGGAGAGGAGAGGAGCTGCAAGAATCCATGCAACTTCCATCATCCTAACCTTAGGCCAAATTTTTTTTTTTGCTTCCCTGTGGAACAACAAAGAGATGTTTCAAAGAGGAGGAGGCTGCCATTCCCTGCTCTCCTGCCTGCTTGTTCTCTCGTTCTCTTGCGGAGAGATGTTGGCAGGGCTCTGCAGGACCCGGCTTTGGGCACTGCCTCTGCCGCATGCCGGAGCCAGGGGGAGGGCAGACAGGTCCCCTCCCTCAGCAGCAGCTCTCTCCTCTCCCTTTCTTCCTCATTTATCTGTCCGTGCTCCGCTGGGGTCCCTGAGCATCATGGAAGGGAACAGGTTAGCTCAGCGCGAGTGGGCTCTCTTGGCTAGCACGGGCAGCAGAGTTGGGCTCTGAGTCCACTGCCTCCTCCTACCACTGCCCTGTGCCTTCGCTGAGTCACTTTTACGCTCTGATTTCTTTGTCGGATTGCATCTGGGCATGAGGAGCAAACAAGAGGGGGGGCAGAGGCAAGGCTGGAAAAGTTGGTGATACCTTTTGATGGAAGGACTGTGGGCTGGGACCACCTCGCTGCACGCCAGGTCACGAGGTGCTGAAGTGCCCGTTACACTTGATCTTGTGCGTTGGTGCCACTCTCGCGGTCTGAGATGGAGCCCTGCAGAAAAGCAACTGCCTCCAGGGCAGCGGAGCGTGGCTCTCTGACGCGTCTCCTCCCCTTGCAGGGATCTACACCAGTAACAAGGACCCTATTTCCCACGGGGGCGGAGTGCTCCGAGCGGTGTGCAGTACACCCCTCTCTTCCAGCCTGCTGGCACACCAGGGTACCTCGTCTCTCCCACAGCTCAACCGGTCTCCCTTCGCTAGCACCATCCCAGCCTCCTCCTCCTCGGTCTCCACCACGCAGGTAAGAACATCAGGACCAGGAGAGGGACTGTGGTTCAGGAGAGCGTTGGACAGAGCAGGACCACTTTGTGGGCACAGAGGAGTTGCTTTTTCCATTTGGGAACAGCTACTCTTCCTTAAGTTTGGAAGAGAGCTGCCAACTGCAGCTTCGGTGGAAAGATGGAGGCAGTTCAGCATCACAGCCCATGCAGCCTGTTTCGGGGTGGGAGGAATTGCAACCTCAAAGGGCGCGTGTGCTGTGTCCTGTGCGGCTTGTCCCCTGCTGCTCGGCTGGACCCTGCCACCGGTGCCAGCCCTACCTTTGCTCTGCAGCACCGATAACTTGGTGGGAGGGCTCCCACATCCCAGCTGGGTGGGCTGTGCGTGTGCCAGGAGACAGAGCTTTGTCCTGTGTCGGGAGCTCACTGTGAGAGGTGTTTAACAGGGAGGAGAGAGGGAGTTTTACAGCCTTGGTGTTAACACGGCTCATTCAGACCTCTTGGCGCTGAGACGGGGCTGGGAAGATTTCAGCTGTCTAGTGAGACTTCCAAAGAAATATTTTTAACACTCTCTCTCATGAGCAAGCTGTGTTCAAGAGTCAGGAAGAGATGGAATAATGAAGTTCTTTCCCTCTTGCGTTTTTGAGAAGTCATTTCTCTCTCTCTCTCCCTCCTTGTTTTGCCGTGTAGGTGTTCTCACTGGCAGGTTCAACATTTAGTCTCCCTTCCTCACATATTTTTGGAAGCCCCCTCGCATCTGGGCTATCAATCAACCCACTCTTAAATCAGGCGGAAAGCAGCCGGGCAGGTACGTGAATCAGAAGGTATGTGAGTTTGGACTTCCAAAGGGTTCTCCCTGGAAGAGTCGAGACAACTGCATCCATAGTTCTCCAGCTGCCCTCCCTGCTTGCTCCCATCCCACGCGTGTGAGAGCCCGGGGCTAGGAGAGGGGGACAGGGGCTTTTTCTCCAGGGCAGGGGGTGCTTGGGTTTGCCTTAACGAAATGCTGCCTTGCAGTCCTGTAAAAGCACATCTGCTGGTGTGTCCATTGGCTAACGTGCATCCCTGGACACGTGCTAGAAAAGTGCAAGAATGTAAGTCCTTCCCCACCGAAATTTGTTGTCTTTTTACACGCTAAAGCTGTGCAAACCTAGTGAAAACTACTGGGAGCTTTTGCTTGCTCAAAATTAAGTTGAAAGTTTTTGTTGGGGTTTTGTTTTCTGGTTTTGTTTTTGTTTTTTAATGAGAGAGATCTTACACTATAAATTTTCATCTTCCACGTCTGTTTTGAGTTACGTTCTGCCCTTCCCCTTTGGCTTTGTCATGAATGCAACAAAATCCACTGTTTTCAACTTCCAAATATGAACGTGCCAACACTGAATTACTTACAACTGCTCATTTTTTCCCACCAAGGCAAATTCATTTTTCTTGGAAGATTGCCTGGTTAATAAGCAGGAGACTTGAAGCATCGTCAGATTTCTTTTTTCCCAAAATAGAGCGGGCCTGATTTTTGTTTTACACCAGTAATCAAACAAAAGCACCCTCCTGATTTTTCAGACGTTGCCGTTAGCGGTGCAACTGTCTCGTCTCCCCTAGCCCAGAAACGCTGGCGGCTCAGCATGCTGGATGCTGAACTCCTGGGAGGTCAAACTCTGCCCGGTGTCACACCGAGTGACAAGCACTTTAAAGCCCACAGTCCTCATTAGGGGTGGCTCCGAGTTCTCTGGATAATCTGACACCAGCGTGCCCTTATTTGCCTTAACAAGTGTGCATGCCTGCATGTAAAGCATGAATGAACACGTATGCTTCCCCGTGACCTTTGCGAGCCCGTGGAAGGTGCCTGTCTGTCTCTCCGTGTGTCACTGGCAGCATTTTGTCCGTGTGCCCTGGCCGGCAGCTTCCATCTGCTGGAGGGTAACTGGGAAGCTGGGAGTCAGAGCCACGGCATGGGAGCTGTGAGTCAGGAGTGATTCAGGCACCTGGAATTAAGGGAAGAATGGAATGATTCAAAGTTATTCTTCCCTCACGGCGATCGACAAGAGAGATGACCCACTGCCTGTTGCCTTTTGCTGTTATTTTGGCAAGGCGCTGACAGGAGAAGGAAGCGAGTCAACTGTCAGGAATAGCGCTGTGGTGCAGGCACAACGCGGAGGCTCGGCAGTCTGGGTTCTGTTCCAGCCCCGCGGCTACTAATGAATGAATCATGGAGGCAAAATCCAGCATACAAACTGCTCAAAAAAAAAAAAAAAAAAAAAGCCTGACCCTTAGTTTCCATTTCCAAGATTGGTCTTTTTGTTCGAGTAGGATCTTACAAGCTTCGGGACGTGTTTTTTTCCAGTTCCAGGCAGCGTTCAGAACAGCTCCTGGTTTTTGTCACGTTTCAGGTTTGTCCATCACGATCTCCTCCTGCTGGAGCTCGTGGCCCAGAGGGTGCTAAGCCAAATTCAGGGCTTTTTTTCCAAGGGGATTAATTAACATGCATTAAGCCTCCTGTGTGGGGCCATTTTCGCTTAAAAGTATGGTGACTGCTTTAATCCCAAATCGTTACCAGGGTGGCTGTGAAGTTGGAGGTAGTCCCGCCTTGTCTTCGATTCAGATTACCTTTCCTGACAGCATCTGTGTGGACAGATCCCACGGAGACACAGCTTTCCTTGCAGGAACATTTGAGCTCTTCACAATTTTAATGTGAAGTAGGGAAATGGTGTTACCCTGCCTTACAGATGGGGGAACTGAAAACTGTTATCGCTGATGCAGGTTGATACCAGGGTGCCTTTGGCAGTACAGAAAGTCTGATTCTTATCTTCCCACTCCCTTAGCTACTGTCTAGTTCTTCCTCCCACAGCTCGTCCTGGATCCTGCCTCGTTATGATGACAGGCCAAATGTATTTATCTTCCCTCGTTGTCTTCAAGCCTCTTTTTCATACTTGCTGCCTCGGAAAGCGTGGTGTCTGTGTGATAACTGGGTCATCCCCCCGCTCTGCAGACAACAGGGTGCTGGCGTTGGCCAGGAGATAATTGCACATGGAGCCTGCTGCTGTTTCAGAGAACCAGAATCATGTGTCTGTATGTGTATGTACATACATATGTATGTGCACAGCCTCCCTGGGCTGCAGGCAAACAGCACAACAGCACCAAGCAGGCAGTCAGAGCTTAGCTGGATGTTTATTTGGTTGCAAGTTAAAACGGTTGCAGCAAAGCTGCACAAGGTGGGCGGTGGATATTTTTCAAAGGGTTTAAGTGGTCCTTGGATGGAAGCAATACCGGGAAGCACTGCAGCGGTCTGCCTGTTCCCAGCCTTCTGGTAGCTGATCCTGGGTTGGAGAAATCGGGAAGTTCACATGCCTTGTGGTGTCCCTGAAATCAAGACTTGTCTCCACATGGTGTCAGACTGGGAGACCACTGTCGGTCGGCAACTGCTGGTCACCTCCAGGAAGCGGTGGCTTCTCCCCAGAGGGATGGACCGGTTGTAATTGATGGCCTGGAAGACATTCCCATGGGGATGAAGGAGTGAGGATCCAACTCCTACCTGTCTGTAAGAGCTGCTGAACGACAGCTGTGTTTGCTTGTTCTCAGCGGTGGAAAATAACTGCCAATAACTACTGCCCTGCTCGGGGCACTACACTGTAAATCACAGCGTTCCCTGCAGGAGACTTCCTGGATTCTTGCACATACAAAATGTCTCTTATTGTGTGAAGAAGAGGAGGGGCGAGTCGGCCAGCTGGTGCAGGCTGTAGTCACAACATCTGACACGTCCCAGAGAGAGGGGAACGTGTGTTTATGGGCTGGCAGGCTCTGGGGATGGAAAGCAAATGGCAGATAAATATACTTCACTTCTTGATTACTCTTTGGATGGGAGATATCCTGCACATGTGCACATGCACAGCGCCTCCGGCCCCAGCGCTGCTCCCTGGGACACGGGGATGGCTGGACCTTCTGGACCTGAAACACTTCTTTAAGCTCTTCAGAAAGGAGCATCTGGAAACTTTGCGGGACCGCAGCTGGGTTTCGGGAGAGGATCCCGGTGGCACAGGGCAGCGGTGGCACTTAGGAGAGCTGAGCGGGGCTTTGCACAGCATCGATTCCTCCTCGCAGGCTCAGCAAAGCCAGCCTCCCTCTCCCCCGCCCCTCCCCACGGCTTTACACCTAAAAAAAAAGCTTTTTCCTCCCCATCGCTCCGCTTGCCGCGGCTGCGGAGAGCGCGGGGCTGGCGCGGGGCCGGTTCCCCCCTCTTTAAGGAAGGGGGGGGGTCGCCTCGGTGACCTTTCCAGGGTGCCACACAGCACCAGCACCCCCTCCTTCCCC